TGGTGCGGTGATTTACCTGTTGCGTAGTGAACCGATATTAGCCGATGCGAAATTGGTGTTTGAGGACATCAAATACAGTTGATTCCGTTTTGTACATGTGTGATAGTACTCAAGTCTTATATAATATTAATGTTTAACGACAGAAGGAATAAGTTTGAATTAATTTGAATCGAACGACGAAAAACGTCACACGAAACAAAATTGACCATATAACATCACATCTATGCATCTATGAAAGAATCCAGAAAAATTGGAACCAGTAAACATATGGCCGGATATTTAAACATGAAAAATGAAAAAGGCGAGTCTGATCATTTTATAAGAATACAGCAAAATAGTATTTTAGTTATTAAGGAAAGAAAAAAAAAATCAATTGAGATTCATTCAACCGGACAATAATAATATAGCTTTTAAGAAAGAAAAAAACCACTCATTTTAATTGTGATTTATCAAACTCCAACAAATTAAATATAACAAACATTTCCAATTGTTTTGTTATTGAAAAAAAATATTTATGATGGTGAAATCTCTTACCATTCATTTTTGATTCATTTTATCTATATAATAAAGACCAATGATGAAGACACGAATCCAGTTTTTGGCGGTTTATTAAAATTAATAGTCTTTGAATTTGAACTATTTACATACATAGCTATCTATTTTTGCGGTAGGGTAAGCCATCACAGGAGAATCTATCTTGAATTATTACAGAAAAATGTGCCGGCTGAATTTGAAAGCTTTATTCCACATCTATTTAGTATTTAAACAAAACACACGATTCATTCTATTTAAATGAAAATGATTATCTTTTTAAAAAAGTCCGGTTTTTTTGTCTTTTTTGAAATCTGTTTTAAATAAATCTTATGAAGTTGTCATACCTTAATATCATATACGATATATGAATAAAATAACAGCAAATAAAAACTAAAATAACCGGTCTTTTTATAATAAATATTATGAAGTAGTTATACCTTATATCAACACCAAACATTTTAGTCAATGTTAGTAGACAATAAATTTATTTTTATTCTTATCTGGGATCAATGATATATATGATATTGTATTATATAATATGACAGCATAACATGAACAGTGGCAACAAGTTGAAAACTACAAGAAAGAAAAAGCCCGCACATTATAATTAAAAGCTATGTGATTACTTATTGTAATAACTGGTATTTATTTTCCAAGAAGAATTTTTGTACGTCTTTTTTGTCTTCGTTTCTGCTCTTCGGCTTCTTCTTCTAGTGAAATTCGCTTGCAAATTTGTTTCGTTTTTAGGATGAAGAACGTACGTAATACCTCTAATAAAAATTCTCCTTTATGTGTAATTTGGCTGCTTTGGTTTTTTGTTCCATGTAGTTCAAACTGTGTCGAACTGTATAATGATTCGATCGAAGAGATAGTATTGAAAAGTGTTTTGGCCAAACTTTCATAATTAACATTATCGTTATATGATTGTAGATATTCATTGATTTTTTCACTAGCTAAAATGATTTCAAAAGTGCTAGAACAAGGTTGTCCGGGAATTTGACCTCGATTTACTTTTTTTGCAATTAAAGCGTCGAATATTTTGGAGTTTTCGTTAAAAACGTTGAGACATTCCTTACATGCGGTCACAGTTTGCTTTCGAAAACGTTGTAGGATATCATTCTCTACAGATGATGCTACCAAGGCATACATATGCTGCTCATATGCTTCAAACTGATAATCGATGAGTGAGTAAAAGTCTATGTCAATTTCAAATACCGGCGCTTCCAATATTTTTTTGGTGTTAATCGAAATTTGTCTTTTATCTGCCACATTTGATGCTGAAACATTGAGTAGTTGATTTGGAAAATCAATATTGCAATTCGTTTTACTTTCTCCGGATATATGTGGTGTACAAAATAATAGTTTTCGGTATGCGCTTCGGAACTGAGGTATATTTGGATTTGAATTACCCCCCAAACTACCTCTAACAAGTGAGAAGTATGTCTCCAAATGATCTTGAGCATATTGGAATGGATAGAATTTACCAGAATTTGTATTTTCAAAATAATCTTCATAAATGCCTTTTGTACTTTCAATGTTTATCAATAAGCCAGCAAATCCGACCTGTGCTACCGCCGGTACCCTTATTATTTTTTTTTTTCTTTTCACATTCATTGTCATACCCTGTACAAATCGTTTAAATGAATCAAAGAGCCGGAATATGTTTTCTATTGTTGACGGACAAAGAGGCTGTTTAAAATGATTATCAGATCTTTTTCCTTCACCGAAATTCATGACATCAAATACATTATTTGATAGCCGTAGAAATTTTACAAATTTTTCACATCCAATGAAATCTTCATAGAAATCCTCGCATAATTGCTCTAATGCATCAGCATTTTCATTGCTAAAAATTTGTACAGCTTTCTTAACGTTCATTTTGTGATCCATCCATAAAATATGATTCCGGGTAAGCTTATTTGTCAACGAAAAGTTATCCTTGTCTTGTTTCAATGCTAATTTTTCTAGAAGTTCCCATTTCATTTCATCTTCTCCATGCTGAAGTTTTTGTTGCGATAAGTACTTTCTTAAAAGCTTAAACATATGAGGAGGGTCAAATATTACGTAAATATTTTCTTTTGGATTAGTTTGTCTTTTGAAATATGGTTTGTTATTCGCGAAATCGGCGCCAAGTAATTTAGCAACAGCCATGTTTAAATGCAAACCATCACCAGTAAGAGAAATAACCTTTGCTCCGGTTAGATCAACACGCCTGATGACATCACTGGTAAATAATGCTCGATCAACTGAATTTTGTCCGTTCAGAATTTGGTAGGCTACAGAAATTCGGAAATCCGGCCCAACAATCATAAACACTGAGGCTTCTTTTAAAATTCTAAGTTTATCATTCTGTTTTGGAACAGATTTTTCACTGAAGCCTTCGAATGACATAGTTTTTTCGTTGAATAAAACTTGCTGTCGTATGGACATATCATCCGATATAAGGCACACGTATAGTTGTTCCCCTCTTTCTTTACATAAAATTGCTTTTTCTGAGATTGCATCTAAGGCAACCTGAGTAATACCGGGAGTTGAATCAATAGAAGTTAACCATCTTTGCATTGTACGGATAGTTGGTAAATTATTGTTGAAAAATTTTCTCATTTCACGATACGCTGAACTTGAATGAAATTGCATTCTTAAACAGAATTTTCGGACAGCTTCCGTATATTTGCCGTGTTTATTTCTCAGCCCCGTTGTTAATAAATTGATTAAATCTCTTTGATCCTAATGGGAGCAAATGACATTAAATAAGTTATTAATAACACGTAAATATATATGAAACAAGTATTAAATAATTTTCTCAATTAGAACCAATTAGAACAAAATTTATGAAATTTAGCTACTAACCGGTGTTAAATGTCTCTGTTCGTTTTGTTCTGAATGCTGTTTTTTTAATTTTTCAATTAAATTATCTTTCTTTTTAATTTCAGCTGTCAACGACTCAATTTTTTGTTTAGCTTTGTAAAGTTCAGCTGTCGACGCCACAATCTCTTTTTTAGCTTTGTAAAGTTCAATTAAAGAATCCATTAGTCTTTTATATTGTTCTGTAGAAATTTGTTTCGTATTATCCATAATATTAGTATTGTTATGTGTTATATTTGAAGGACCATCTTCCTCGAATATATCGGAGCTTAAAGTAGCTGAATGTGAACTATGATAGAAAAAGATCAACCGTGTTACATACACTATTATTTTAATTATTCATTGTTTAAAATTTATTTATACCTTAATTGAGGAAATGCGCCTATTTTCAGACGTGTAGTTGTTCCGGTTTTTATCAAATCATCTTTATTGAAGTGAAGATCACATATATATATATTTTTATTAGTATTTAATTGTTGATGAGCCGAGATTAACGGAATCCATTGCTTTCTATTATCGTCCAAACTGCAAATTTAAAAATATTTTATCTATGGAAAATTCTAATAAAATAAATTTAATTCTACAATCTATACATACTGAAATAGAATTCTTTCTTTATTGAAACTTGAAGTTGTACAATTTTTTATAGCACATTTACGCATTTTGTTTGATTTTGTTTTACAATGGGGAAATTCTTCTAACTGAAACTATACCGGAACTATTATGAAATAATGACAAGTGTAGCAAACAAATTCATTCGTTGTATTTGGTTGTATTTGTGTGTATGTATGCGCTTTGTCGATGACATCCAAACGCATCAAGTAGACTTTGCTAGATATAAGCAGATATAAGCAAACAAAAGTTGACATCCATTTGAGGTTAACACAATTTGTTGAACAATATCAACGATTTTTTCGGTTGTTTATTTTATAAAAAGAAAAGCTAAAGAAACCACTTCAATTATTCGACGAAAACATTGGATATGGCTCAAGAGATGGAAAATGATGAATCAATTTTGGATACAACAATTCATATGGAATATTCCACAGCATCAAGATAAACAATTCGAATTGGAGCGCAATTCGTAAATTATTCCGGTGTGACATACAATATGGAGTGGACATTTGGAACTGGAACAGCTATCAATTTTAGATGCCATTCAACACCACTTCGGTACAGACCAGCACCAATACTATCGCCAAATGTGTCAATAATCCAAACTCCAACGCAACGGGATATCAATGAAATCACTGAACGTATGGCTCAGATTCAATTGAATTGACCAAAGAACAAACAAATGTCTTTTTTGTAACGTATGTATGTAACATAAATTATGTTAAATCAATCTCATACAGTTTCAAAGATACAATAAAAAACAATTAACCATAAACGATTATTTTAGTTTTTATTTGCTGTTATTTTATTCATATATCGTATATGATATTAAGGTATGACAACTTCATAAGATTTATTTAAAACAGATTTAAAAAAAGACAAAAAAACCGGACTTTTTTAAAAAGATAATCATTTTCATTTAAATAGAATGAATCGTGTGTTTTGTTGTGAAAAATTCTCTATTCTCCTTCTCTGCTCCTTGCGATTTATTGTTTTTCCTCATTTTTCTTCATGAGCCGGAAGCTTCGACGTGGTGCTGTATCATTGGTTTTCATGATTTGGCGTGGTTTGGTTGCAGCCAGAATTTCTGAAAATTGACAACAACAAAAAAAATTGACTCATATGGAATATAGATGAATGATAAAATTTACCTTCTTCTGTGATTCTTACAAGCTCAATCTTGCATTCACGAGTACTGTTGTTTTCCATTGTAAGTTGGACTTCTGACGCACCTACATTTTATATCATTTCACATTTATTTTAAGAATTAAGAGACTTTTTTTTATCATTTTATTCACTTACTTGGATTTACCGGCGTTATATTTTGTTGCTGTTGACCGGCTACTTCGATTGATTTCAAATTTTCTGTATGTTCGGTTGCTTCATTTACTTTTTGTGTCTTAGACATTTCTGTCTGTGCTTTCATAAATAAATCGTGGAATGTTGTTATTGTTGAAAAACATTCTTTCATGCTCATGTTCATGCCATATTCCTTTATCTTGAATCCAAAATAATCCGCAACGTTCATATAACCGGCTTGCATGTCAATTGTCATTCCTTTCAATAGCTCTAGATGTGCGCTGCATTCTGACATAAAGGGAGTCATTGTTTCGATAAATTTATCATCAATTAGTTGAGAAACGCTGTTTCGTGCCAGTTCTTTTTTGAGAATATCGGCTTCAGTTGCAATTTTGTTTATCACATCTTCAATGTGGTCAAGATCAAGACGGGCAGCTTCATTGACATAATTGAGCTCATCACCAAAGACCAACAATTCCGGTTGTCTGTTTTCGACAGTTTCTACTACAAAATGTAGAAGCGTTTGTTTGTTGTCTGAACACTTAATTGTATTCAATTTGGTTAGTATTGGTAACTCAAAGGCAACTGCCTCTCCATAGGTCGAACCGGAATTCATAATGTTTCCAATCGATCTGATTAGTATCAAGATCTTACGAAACTTTTGAGATGTAGTGAGTTGCTTACAGGCGGCAATGCCAACTTCGATATTTGGTTTGAGATCCGTTACCATATCGTTGTAATTTATTTTGAATTTTATACACTGTAAACGAGGTAGAAGTCGTTCAATGTCGGACAGATCAACAAGAAAATTTTCCGGTTCAGCAAGCTCAATATTTGTCTTGTTCAAATCAATGAGTTGGTTTATTTGATAGGGCTGCGGCCAACATTTCATCAGAGCCTCAATGAAATCAACTTTTAGCATGGAATCGTTGCAATCCAAAATATACTTTTTGATTTGATCATGTGACGTATTTTTGTATTGAACACGAAGCAAAATCAGAAGATTTTGTGCATTACGAGTATCTATTACTCGTAAGGGTTTTACAGCACATGTCTTGAATGTATTTTTTCCGGGCTGTAATGAAAATTTTTTTGCCACTACATCAAGTAAATCTTTCGCCGGTTGCTCATCATCATCTTCATGTTTATTCCAAATGCAATCTTTTGGTAGATTATGTGGAATAATCTTATTCCAATTGATTTTTTTCATTCTTGAATCATTTGTTTTTGAAACCGGCTCAAGTGATTTAAACGGAGCTGGCGGTGGTGGGGGTGGTGGGGGTGATGGGGGTGGTGGGGGTGGTGGGGGTGGTGGTGCTGATGCCATGAGTGCAATTAATTTAAGCGTAGTTGTTTGATA